CACCTAATGCATTGAAGGCCTCAGCAGGTTGACTGACCCATATGCTGTCCCTGTTTGCACCTCAATCACACCCTGGAGGGGGCAGGATCACCTAGCCAGAGTGCTTCAGAAGAACTGAAACCAAGAAGGAAAGGGACTGTAACCATCTCCATATGCCTGTATGGAAGAAAAAAATATGAGAAGAGAAAGCAAAAAGAAAAAGTTCCTAGCCCCCAACCCTGAGAACATTGATCCAGGAGAGGTAAATACAAAAGAGATTGAGGACAGGAAACATGCAATATCAGATATATCATCCATGGACACAAAGAAATATTTGGGACCTCATAGATGAGTTCAAAAGTGAAATATTTAATTAAGGAAAGCAAGATATAATCGATTAATAAAAGAAATGCTAAGTACCTCTCAAGAAGGCACAGATGGAAGGATGGAGGCACACACAAAAAGGAGAGAAACATTTGATGAAGAATATAAAGAAAACATAGAATACACGAGGCAGGTTCAAAGAGATTACCAGGAAATAAAAAACTCCATTGAAAGCTGGCAAAACTACTTGAAAGAAATTAGGGATAGATTATCCAAATTGGAAGACAGGTTTGAAATGTGTGATCTTGAAAGGAAAAATTTCTTAAAAATAACAAGGAAACAAGCAGTAACAATACAAAGGCTAGAAGACGACAAGAGGATATATAACTTAAAATAAAGAAAGTGAATGAAGAAGTAAGGGTACAAACAAAGGAACTACAAAGGTTATTCCAGAAGTAATTAAGGAAAACTTCCCCAGCATAGGAAAAGGAACTGATATTCAGATGTATGAAGTATACAGAACTCCAGCCACCTACAATCAAAACAACTATACCCAGGCATATAATAATCCAAATCCCATAAATTCAATATAAGAACAGAACATTAAGAGCCATCAGAGAAAAGAAACAGATCACCTATAAAGGAAAATTCATCAAAATCATGGCAAACTTCACAACACAGATCATCAAATCAAGAGGAGCTTGGAGCAAAATATTCCAAACCCTAAAAGAAAATAACCTCCAGCCCAGATTGATGTACCCTGAAAAACTGTCTCTAGAAATTAATGTAGAAACAAGATGCTTTCAAGACAAAGAGGAACTGGGGGAATTTGCGACCACCAATCCAACCCTACCTAGAATGCTGAAGGACATTCTAGAGAGAGAGCAAAGTACTATGATTCCAGGAACAGTGGCAGAGGGGCCTCAATGAATGGAGCAGAAAGTGGAATGAAGAAAAAAAGCTGACAACTAGTGGCAGAAAAAGAGCACAACCGAAATGAGGCAGAGAAGGTTGACTATATTCGATAATATAGATGGCCTTGATTCACTAAAATAATAAGAAAAAGAAAAGAAAAGAGAAACATAGGCACAGGTAGAGTAGATCGGGAGGTAGGGTCTACCAAGATCCTCTTTATATTAAATATAATTAACCTGAAAAAGTTATATCAACAAAAAATCAAATATAAGAAAACAATGCTCTATGTGACATGGAACCAAAGAGTAATAGGGGCAACTTGACCAGTATTTGTGGATAGGTTGGAAAGATCGGCTTTAATAGGTGAAGGAATACAACTAGAGATCCAGGAAGGAGATGGTTCAGAACCACTTAGGTAAATAGAATATTGCCCCCCCCCCAATCTAAAAATTGAGGGTATTGGTGAGACCCAAAATTGTACAGTGCACCCTGGGGGAGTGAAACGGGAGAAACAGTCTTTAAAAAGATGGCAGAAGATGTTGTTAATAGTGTATCAGGATTTAACGCCCACATTACTTGCACCACTCTGCTTAGATAGATTTTATTCTGTCCCAGTTTGTCTACTTGGACTAGATCTGAGGGCACAGATAGCTATCGCAAAAAATAACAGAAAACAGTACAGTAATCATCTTTAATTTCCTATTAACTCAATCTCAAGCCCTGTATAACTTATACTGTTTTCTCAGGATTGATCTTAGTTAAATCTGGTTTATTTTATTTCTATTTGGTATCAACAGATTTTATTCAAAACTGTTATGATTGATAGTATCAAGTCTGAGAGTATGGCAACTACACTTAAGATGACAAGATTCACTACGATACGCATTCTGGTTTGATTACTACCTGCTTTTGAAGTTTTATTCTATCTACAGAGTTGTGTTTTTATTAATGTTGCTATGTACTGCTATATTCAATTATACTATGTCTGATGATATAGATAGTTCTATTGAAGATAACAAGAGACAATATAGTAACTGTGGTCAAACTCCCTGTACAGTGATTTTATGTCTTTTCCATTTCATGTGTTTATAGGAATATGTTTTGTTTTTTCTTGCTTTGTTTTGTTTCTCCCTCTAATATAGAAAGGATAGAAATACATGTTAAGACTCATCCATGCATAGAACCTATGAACAGTTTATGAGAACTGATCTTATAACACATGATGAAATGAACAAATACTTTAAAGAAAAAGAAACACTGTAATACCCAGTGATGAGCCCATAGTGCCATGATGTGAAATCCAGCAATACTATTATTCTTTGTACAGAGTGATTTTAGCCTACTTTGGTTTGTTTAACCTCAACATAGATGAAAATATAGATAATTGCATGTATGTTTAAGTGTATAGAATTGATAACCATATTACTAAGTTTTGTTGGATAGTTGACCAGAATTGTTTGCAGTCTCACTGTTTGAATCCCCAATTTGTATGTTTCACTTTTGTATCTTGAACAACTATTTGTAAGAGGAAAATATGTAATCATCAACTAGTGATTTTTTACTGTTTATTTTTTTGAAATTATGTATTATTTCTATCCATTTTCTGTTTTGTTTAGTCTTTCTTTAAATAAAACCTAAAAAAAATCCCAGCCCCCCCCCCCCCCCAAAAAAAAAGCACAATCAGCCTCATCTGAATGGTTTGGGGAAATTTTTCTTAATTGAATTTATGATGGGGAGTGAAGCTACAACCTGACTGGTAATTTGGTTTTAAGGTTAGATTCTAAGAGCAAAATCACTGTAGACATGTTATCAGCTCAGAATGTGTTTCCATAAACTTCAGTCTATGTTGAGGGAAGAAGTTTAAACTGAGGAATATCATGGGAACTTAGAGTTCAAATTGTTGATTGTGACACACCAGTGCCATCTACACAATGGAGCATTTAAACAGATTAACTCCTCTTCTTCCCCACTTGCCTAGGAGTATGCTTGCCAGAAATATTCAGACTGTCATCTCTTCAGAACATCAGTGTTATCATACCCTGGGTTTCATAGAGAAGGAAGCATCTTGAACTCTTTGTGACAACAGTAAAGTGACTATAAGAAGATGTCAGTAGACAGGAGGAGCAGCCTGTGGGACAGGGAAAAGAGGAAAAAGGCAGGAGCTGCACTGCCATCAGCACTGATGGTGAAAAGACCAGAGAAAAGAGAATGAGGAGCATTGTCCTGGTGCTCAGGAAGGCACAAGGGCTCCCCAGGAAAGGGTCTCTGATCTCCTGCAGCTGGGATCTCCCTGGCCAACCTTCTGACACTTTATTTACAATATGTGCTACCTTATGAGAGTGAAACACCACTACAGTTCAGGCTAATTGGTCTCATGAGACACAGAAAGAATAAGAACAGCTCTCAATCTTTCCCTTCCTAAGAATCCTCCTAAGCAAAGTATTATTCAAATTGTTGTGGGTGGTAGGAGTTCATAGACCTCTGTTGAGACTTGGCTGGAGGAGGCAGAGCTCTGGTTTAGGAAAGGAGGCTGCCAGGGATTTTCCTGTGCCCAGAGACAGTTTCCTGAAGTGAGTATCAGTGGCCCCCAATGGATCTAGGTGGAGGTTGTGAAAGCACATGAAATAATTACACTTGTACACAGGTGTGATGTCCCTGGTGCAACCAAGGCAGTGTGAACCTGTGCTGTTGAAGCCCTTACACACCCTTTCTATCACCTGCTCAATCTCTGAATTCTCCTTCCCCACCAGTGCTGATTGGTGGTACTGAATCTACCAGACCTCAGGGAATAGGCTTCAAAGGATTGGAAAAATAGAATATTATGATGGTGTCAGAAAGTACAACCCTTCTTCTCCCTAGCTGCAGCTCCATCAGCAGAGACACAGACAAGAGGTAGTTTTCTTACAATTGAACTCTCTGATCCCTGAGGACAGGGTCATGTTTGGCTCCACAGTGAGAGGTCCCCAGTGTGATCCCAGACACAAAATTCCCTAGAAGGATGCTTGGGACCAGCAGTGGAGCCCGGGACACATGGAGCATAGAAATCAGTTTTAGAAAATTGAAACATTTGAAGGATTTTCTATGCACTTGATTGTCCTCTCTCCAAAAACCAGGGACTCATAATTTCCAGGGGACCTTTCTCTAATGCTACAATATTTTTTGTTTATGGCTGTGTGCTTCTTGTTTTTTAACATCTACTGTATGAGAACATGCACTTAGTAGTTTTCAATGAAATCCTTTATTTACAACACAGATGACTACACAATGTAACTCTTTGTTAGGTCTAGATATACTTAATGATGTAGGACCAACTGTTAAGTATGCATTTGTCATCCACTATCAGGCACATCTCCATGCCATCTACTTATGGTGCCCTTAGCATTCTTTGTCATGAACATTTGCTAAAGCAGAGTAAAATCTGATGTTTACTCAGCAACTATGGAACACAGCATAATATTTGTGCAGAAAACTAGAAAAAGTTCAAATGTCTTTTCAAGATGCAGCAGTGTACAAACTGGAAAATGTTCATAATACACTCATTTTAATGCTTCCAAAGCAGACAAGTTTATTAGAAAAACACGTTGTGTGCATGTGAAAAATAAAATTAGAAACACAGCTAAATAGCACTACATCGCCTCATCATGAGCTTTCACATGGTGTGCTACTAAATTATAGCTACCAGACTTCGCTAGTGCACTCATCTGATTTGTGCACTGCTCTCTCTGAGCTACACATTAGCAGAACTGGCTATATAGCAGGAAGCCATGCAAATGGGGCCTCCCTCTGCTGATGAAAACCAGGCTGGCTGGCACCTGCAGCTCTGCGTTAGAGCACAACTTTGGAGGCCAGCTCTTGCTCATTAGCGGTGAGAGCTGAACACAAAGGGCTCACCATGGAGCTTGGGCTGAGCTGGGTTTTCCTGTTTGCAATTTTGAAAGGTAAATTATTCAGAACAAAAGATACTGAACATGTCATTGCACATCAGTGGTATAAACAGGGAACTTTTGTAACGAATTCTAAGCCTGATGTCTCTGTCTTTGCAGGTGTCCAGGGAGAGGCGCAGCTGGTGGAATCCGGTGGGGGCTTGGTGCAGCCTGGGGGCTCCCTGAGACTCTCCTGCGTGGCCTCGGGATTCACCTTCAGTAGCTATGCCATGAACTGGATCCGTCAAGCCCCAGGAAAAGGGCTGGAGTGGATCTCAGTGATCTGGTATGATGGTAGTAAAATGTACTACGCAGACTCCGTAAAGGGCCGATTCACCATCTCCAGAGACAACGGCAAGAACACACTGTATCTGCAGATGAGCAGCCTGAGACCCGAGGACACGGCCTTGTATTACTGTGCAAAAAACACAGTGACAGAACATCAATGTGACCCCGGACAAAAACCTCACACTAGGGAGGGTTGGGCCAGCAGGGGTCGCTGTGGTCCAAGGGGAACAGGGCAGTGCCCCAGGAGCAGGTGCAGAGAAGGAAGTGGGGGGGGGGGCGAAAGCCTCCTGAGGCCTCTGGGGTTTCCAGCCTGCGTTAAATCATAGCACCTGAGCCAACCCTGCAGCGCATGTGTGGCAAGAAGTATCCAAGTTCATGTAAACATCAACTGTTCCATGCAATTGCGCATGAATTTCATTTAATATCAGTCTCAATTTTTAAGCTTTGTGAGTTAGTTGTGGGTTTTTTTCCTACATCTAGTCAATCTTTCCACCTAAAAATGAACCTGCTAAGCTAATATGAATAACGTTTTGCCTCATGCATAATTAAACGTTTAGATTAGGGAATTAAAACTTTTGCATCTCTTTCCATTCTGTCTGGGACCACGCAGATTTCTCCTCCCCTTGAACAACATAGAATATCAGCTAGACAGGCTCAGCCCTGGCACCACAGGGAAGATAATTTCAAATCCTAAGTGACTCCAAAAATTGCTTTGTCTCTGTCTATTTTGTAGACTGTGTCATTAGAGAAGTTTTCCGTGTGCAGCTGTGTTGAGGAAGAGGCAGGAGAGTCAGTGTCACTGAGAACCCTCTCTCCATCACACCAACACAGCAGCCTTGGTTGCTTAGGGGACAAAAACATTAAGAGGAGTCCTGACTCGGTTCATTTCAAAAATCCCACAGCAGCTGCTTATACTCAGTCCAGCCTTAGGGAATGAGATGTGAACCATTTGTCCTTGCAGCCTTCAGTAATCCAGCAGGAATTAGAAGGGCACATGCCATGGAACAGATAACCTTGTTCCCTCCTTTCCCTGTGTACACAACTCCTGAGGAAACATTTGCTTCTCATTCTTCCTCTTCACACTCTTGACTTCCAAATCAACAACTACAAATTGCTCAAATCACATCTCATTCCCCAAGGCTGGCAAAGCATAAGCAGCTGCTGAGGGCATTTTGGATTGAACCGAGTCATGTCCAGAAGTAATCTTTCTTGTCCTTTCAGCAGCCAGCTGAGCACTGTGACAGTGCAGGTGGAGAGACAGTGGCTGTGACTCTTTTTCTATGCACCTGTTCACACAAACATTCTCGAAGGGTGCATCCAGCAAAAAAGAGAGACAGCGCTATTTCTGGAGTTTCTTAGGGTTTGAAATCATATTCCATGTGCAGCTGGGCCTGAGTCCCTCTCACTGATCTGTGCTGCTCTTCAGGAGGAGAGAGGTGCATGCTCTCAAAACAGAGAGGAATGATAAAGAGTTAATTTCCAATCTGAAGCATTTATTGACACACAAGACAATTCCTTTTCACTGAGATGAAATACACAGGTGGATTTTTAGATTGTGTTGATGATTAGATATTCAAAACAAAACTAACTTCATGGAATTGGCAACTTAACTTGAGATTGGAACAAGTCACCTTTATTCAGTAAGTGAAATTCTGATGTGATTAAATGGAACACATGATGTTGACTTGGACTTGGATACTTCATTGCAGCTCATGCATCACCAGGTCGGATCAGGTGCTGATTTAATGCAAAAGGGAAACTTTTGGGCTGAGCACAGCCTGGCTGAGCCTGGGCCCAGGCTAGTGCTGCTTCTGCCACCAAATCCCTGCCCTGCATCCTGTGTCTCCCCAGGCTCAGTGTGATCAGAGAGCAACGTGGATGTGTGGAATCAGCTCAGGGTGGATCCACATTCCCTGCTTCCCACAAGCCTTAAGAACAAGTCAAAGACCATTCAATAGGTGGGAGATGATATGATGAATGTCCACTCTGCAGGAAGCTCTCTGACAACCTGAAAATCTGTGTCTCTGTCTATGAGGCTATTCCTTAGTGGGTCATAGAAACAAATCGCAGGCAAATAACTGGCTCCTCCCTTTGGGGGTGGACGTTTATCACACTCACATTCTGTGTACCCTCCTCTTGCATGGGTTGAGTATGGTACAAAGTGAGACCTTGGCTCTGCTGGATCCCATAGTTAAAATTTTGACCTTCTCTACTCGAGACACTTTATCAACCATAACAGGTAGGGAACAGAGAGGAGGTAGGAGCTGTGCTGGAATTGGCACCAAGGAAGGAAGGACCAGAAAGGGTGAGAATTTGGAGAGCTGGCTGGGTGCTCAGGAGTGCAAACAGGCTCTGATCTCATGAGGTTGGGATCTCACTTGAACAAATTTCCAATGCTAGATTTAAAATGTGTTCTCTCATATTAGAATTAAACATAACTTTCATTTAAGAGAACTGGTCTCATGAGATAGGGAAAGTATAAGAGAAATTCTCATGCTGTCCTCTTATATTAAAGAATCTTGATATGCAAATTATCATTCAAGTTACAGATTCAAATACTTCCTCTGGATGATGGGAGCTCATAGAACTCTCCAGAGACCTGGCTGGAAAAAGCTGAACCCCTGTCTAGAAAAGGAGCCTGCCAGGGTTTTCCTGTTCCTGGGGACAGCTTTCTGAGGTAAATATCAGTGTGGTCCAATGGACCCTGGTGGTCATAGTGAAAGCAGGGGACCACTACGTATGAATGACAATTGTAAACATGTGTGATGTCTGAAATGTAGCTACAGGAGAGTGAATCTGGCCTGTTGAAGCCCTTACAGCTCTGTCCTTTACCTGCTCAGTCTCTGGATTCCCCATCATATGCAGTGCTTACCAGTGGCACTGCATCAACCAGACTTTAGGGAAGAGGTGTTAGTGGACTGGAAAAACAGTTTATGATGGTGTCAGAAAGTACAGTCCTTCTCTCACTGGCTGCATCTTCACCTACAGAAAGAGAACCAAGAAGTGTTTTACCTGTAAATGACCCCTGGGGAAAGGTCCATACATTATGCATACATTATGCTGTGAGACACCCAGAGAGCTCCTCCTGGTGAGCCCAGAATCGAAATAAACTGAAGAGATGCTTGGGACCAGCAAGAGGTACCCAGCAAACATGGAGCACAGAAATAAACTTTTAGAGCAGGTGAGAAAAATTCAAGGATTGTCTGTCCACTTGATTGTTCTCTTCCCAAAACACTTGTGCTTAGAATTTCCAGGGAAGTCTTCTGTTTCTAATCCTAGAATGTTGTGTTTATGGAACTAGATTTATTTTTTTAACATCTAGCTCATAAGAAGATGCACTTAGTAGTTTTCAGTGAAATTATTTTGTGCAACCCAGGTGATTGAACTTTGTAACTCATTGTTTTGTTTAATAATACCTTATTATTAGTGATAGGGGCACATCCACCATCCACCATCAGATATAGCTCTCCATCATTCAGCCCTGGTGCATCAAAGCCATGTGCTCAGAATGTCTGGGGAACCATCTCTGTGTGGGTGTGTTGTACACACATTGCTGGAGGAACTTTTGCTTCCTCTGAGGACTTGACACAGGTCACAGAGCATTCAAAATGAGAAGACTCACCTGTGACTCAGTAACACCTTCCAGGCCATCCCCAAGCTCATTTTGCTACCTGTCTCCCCACTCCCTGAGGCCTGCTCTTTCTGACCCTGCCTTTCCCCAGAGAGTCTGTGGGCAATGGCCCGTCTTCTCCTGGCCACACTGCTGTGTAGATTTGATCAGCACTGGCATGCAGAAGAGATATAGAATTGCAAAGACAATTCTAAGTAGCAGAGTCAAGGCAGGAAGCACCACAATCCCTAACTTGAAGATACACTACAAAGAAACTGGTAAAATCAACATGATACTGGAATAAAAACAGAGCGGAAGATCAATGGAATAGATTAGAAGATACAGCCACAACTACAAACACACTCAACCACCTTATCTTTGATAAAGGGGCCAAACATGTTCACTGGAAGAACGACAGTCTCTTAAATAAATGGTGTTGGAAAAACTGGCTCTCCATATGCTGAAAACTAAAACTAGACTGATGCGTATCACCATATACTAAATTAAAATCTAAAGGGATCAAAGATCTGAATATTAAAACAGAAACCCTAAATATATTGGAAGACAAATTGGGTAGAAATCTTGAAGACATAGGAGTAGGTAAAGAATTCATGAACAGGAATCAAACTGCACGGGAAACACTTTCCAGAACCAATAACTGGGATCACCTCTTATTAAAAAGTTTCTGCATGCCAAAGGAAATCTCCAGCATAGTGAAAATAAAACCCACAAACTGGGAAAAAGTCTTAGTGAACTGTCCCTCAGACAAAGGACTTCTCTTTAAAACATATAAAGAATTAAAAAAGATCAGACCCCCAAAATTCAAAGATCCATTCCAAAAATGGGCATCTGAGATGAATATAAAATTCTCCGATGAAGAAATACAAATGGCAAGTAAGTACATGAAAAAATGTTCATGATCATTAGTCTTAGAGAAATGCAAATTAAAACCACACTGAGATTCCATCTCACTCCTGAAAGAATGGCCAGGATCAAGAAAACTACCAACAACAAATGCTGGAGAGGCTGTGGGGAAAAAGTTACTCTCCTGCACTGTTGGTGTGAGTGTAGACTGGTGCAACCATTGTGGAGGTCAGTCTGGAGATTTCTCAAAAAGCTGGGATTGGAAGTCCCATTTGTTCCAGTTATTTCACTTCTAGGCATATTCCCAGAAGAACTGAAAGCATCATACCACAGTGATATATGTGCACCCATTTTTATAGCAGCACAATTTGCAATAGCCAGATCTTGGAAACAACCTATGTGTCCATCAACTGAGGAATGGATCAAAAAGTTGTGGTATTTTTATACAATGGAATACTACTATAAAGAATGATCACATTGATATTACATCACACTTATATATTTATAAATAAATGTGTGCACTTTGAGACCATAATCATTAGCGAAATAAATCAAACTCACAGGCATAAATACTGAATAGTTTCTCTAGTGTAAGAAATGATAAGAATATGTAAAATTGTTTGGTAATCATGATTCCCCATTATACTGCTTTGAAGCCTTATAGTATTTTCTTTCATTAATTGGAATGGTTTTATTCTGTATTGTTTCATGTTATTGTCTGTGATGGTATGAACATTTATTTTGAAGAAAGCAAGACATCATAATAGCTAGTACTGATTTAATATCATCTTGCTTTGAAGTCCCATCAAGCTTTTGTTCTTCTGTTTCCATCAGTTTTATCTTACTGGATTTTATTATATGTGACAGTAT